GAGTCGGAAACAGGGGAACGTTTGCATGCCGGTTGGTCGGTGACTGTCAGTTCCACTCAGGGGTGTGGGCAGGCAACTTAGCTCGGAAATTAGACATTGATGGCAGTCTTGGGAGGTCGTGGGCGACGGGCGTCAGTACTGTATTATTCTGTCTTCCGGAAGTGGCGGATAAAGGCTTTCCTTGTTCCGCGCGTTCCGTTACAGAATAGGGTAGCGGCAACTGCTGGCTCAGTAGTTTCGTTGGTTCGTGGATGGCGGGGACTCGGAGGGTTACCAGTGCGTCAGTGCGTCGCGATACTCGGGCGGGTCTGGGTAAAGTTTATGCATCGTGCAGCGTGCAGTGGTATTTGAACGTTTTGAGTCGTCGTCTCCGTTCCTTAGCCCATACAGTAGTACATTGACAGCTCCACAGTTTCCATTTGGTCTGGCAGGTCCGGTGGGATTTACAGGGGCCATACAGGTAAGGAGTTTGCTGCGTGGTCTGGGGCTGCAGCACCAGTGGTGCTGCTACATTACACTCACAGGCAGGTGACAGGTAGAGGCAGATGTCGATGTTATAGGCCGGGCCGTCAGCGCGTCAGTATCCGAAGCCTACGATGCTTTTGTTTGTCCATCCCTCAGGCGCATTCAACTTTCATTGCTACACTTTATGGCTTGATCACTCAAGGAAAACCACTCATTTGATGCGAGCTGTACTCACGTTTGGAACCAAAAATCGGTATCATGATTACTCTAGCATATGACCGCGCTCTTGACCGCGCCACTGCTTCACTCACATGCGTTGCCACTTGGTTGCCACCGGGTATTGGCGTATCGCGGACGCTTCAAGAACGCTTTAAAGTCAAAGACCGCCGACATGACCACCAAATACTACTGAAGCTCGTCACTTGGCGACACAGCTGCTCCGCTCCTATCTTTCCCCACTCTCCTTACTATTCACGGGTTGAGCCTGCGATCTGCCTCGTTTTGGGGGATCACACTCCGAACGCATCGTGCTAGTCATGACCATGCGTTTCTCCTCCCAATTACCGTATCAGCCGTCCTCCCTCTAGGTCTGGGAGAGTACGGCAGCAACGATCAAGGTACGAGTCCCGTGTCCACACACGAGACTTCTTAGCCCGTGCGACCTGGCGCGTTTTTCCCGGTTCGCTTATTGCCTGAGCAACCCCATCCAGACGCGAAACTGCGGTAACTTGTGTCAGGGTCTTAGCTTTGGCAGTATCTTGACCCGTCCGCGTCCGTCGTCATCGCATAGTCGTCTTTGCTCGCCCGGACGTCAAGCGTTTGCTTTGCCGATCTCACCGGCTCAGAGGTTTTGCCTATTCGCCTAGTAGTCTGACCATGCCGCCCTACGTGGTACCCGACATTCTTTCCTACACCCGTAACAGCTCAGCAGCCAGAACAGCCACATATTCTTCTGCGATCCATAGTATCGCCAGGGTAATGGACTGGGATACACATCCTGATGAGTGGTGGGGCGGACGTCGTGACCTGTACTGGACAGGAAACAAGAACTGGCATCTCAATTATCCATACATCCGTCTTGGTCCATGAAGGTCGATATTTAGTGGGTGAGAATGAGCAGAGAGTATTGCCCTCCAGAAGCTTGAGCGCCAACAGACCATGATCTATTGGGCTGTCACGTGTTAAATTGATGGCGTTGACGCTGAAACTGTAATTTTGTTGTCCATTTGAGCGTTCGTGCCAACCACCATTCATGAAGGAACGCCTCATACGCCAGGTCCCGTCCAATGTCCGACGGGCGGATGAAGAAATAGTGTCGGAAACTCGTTGCCCCGTTCTTTCCATTCTATCATTTACTTCAATCATTCCATGGAAATTAACACCCGAGATGTGGTCTGATTGACCAACGCGTTACACAGCTCTAAGTTGAACGAGATCATTCATACATGATAGGGAGTATACTTGGCACAGTGAGTGATTGTTGAGTGAGCACATTCGCATTCGCACCGTTTCAGAATGGTGGCAAGACGGTCGTCAGACATACGTTACGACACGTTCAGTTGGTTGGCGGAGTATGTGATTCGGGCCAAAGGTTCGTCGTACTGTAATAAGATAGTCTGGAAGCGCTGGTTGAACTGTACTGTACACTGAGGCTTCCTACTGTTGTGAGGATGAAGAGCGTGGTGAGCGTGGTGAGCGCGACGAGGACAGATTTTTCGGATTCAACGTGGCCAGCTGTTGGCAACAACAACTTGAACGTCTAGAAGCTTGCCTAAGGAGCTTGTCTGTTTCAATTCACCGGAGATAAACGGCCATCAGAAAATGTCAACAGTCTAACTTGACTGACCGCTGGTGGAGGATTGTAACTTACATATTGCGATGATGCAAGTCACGTCCCTGCCATGTCCGTAATGTAACCAACGTCGCAGTCTCGGTATAACTCGATGCTGGCGACCACCATCAAATGGGTTTCACAGTGATTGCGGGTGCAAGTGTATGGTGGTAAACCACGAAAGTCGATCTCGATGGGGCGAAAACAGTGCGGGACAAGTTTCAGCGCCCGGACTGATGCACCAGGCGTAATTTCTGTGAAGGTCAGTCAGTGCACACACGTGTCGTGCCCTGTACCGTACCGAGGTCGTCGTGTTGTGACGAATCATGCAATTGGACTTTCCTCGGGTCAAGCATTTGCAGTTTTATCCCGAATCACTTGTAAACCACTAACACGTGACGAAGGAAGATGTTCGTTCAGGTTGATCGGATATAAGGGGAGATAAGAGGAAAAACACCTGGCCCTGATGGTGGGACCTCGTACGGTATTGCACGAAGTTACTGTACCTTGGAACCCCTGGCTGTCTTTCGCCCAAGAATTAATTTCGCCACTCAAGATACAGTACAGTAGTGGGCGCTGAGGCATACTGTAGATGTACGGCGCGTTAGGTTACGTTTTTGATTCATGTGTAGGAGAGGCGAGTACAGTAGCTCGGTCGTAACTTACAGTAAATCTCGGATCGCGGCGTATTTTTATTGCATATCAGGGTCGCATCTCCGAGTGAACATGGGCCGGGGATTGCACTGGTGCATAGGTCAGATTCACAAATACTGTAGGTGCTCGATGATGAATACAAGGCAAGACGGCGATACTTGCAAAAACTCATGGAATTTCCGGGATCGGGATGCATGTTCATGCGAGTGGGCCAATGTTACAGTACCGTCCGGCGATAGGTCTGTTACTGAGAGCGGTGATCGAGTCTGTGCCAGTGGTCAAGGGTCCGATTTAGGCGCTCATGTGACTCGTGTGAGGGTTGTAACTAACGTACTGGACAACCGCCGTGGGTGGTACCTTGGCCACCGGAAGGATAGTAGAAAGGAATGGTTGAGCACAGGGGCAATATCTGTCGTTGATGATTGTACAGTACCCAAACTCCTTGCCAAACTCCATCAAACTCCATTCATCACACGCTGGGCCACGAATGGAACAACAGGGTCAGAATTGGAAATGACGTTTGGGGTTGTTGTCAGGCCGACGAAGACGCTGGACAGGATCTTAGATAATCTGTCCAGGCCGTCCTCTGAACTCAGGTGAGAAAATGTGGCAGCCAAACACAATAAATGAGGTTTTCAACACCGGCGGCTGTTCTCTCTATTCTCTAACTTTCTCCTCTTCCTTGTTCCTTCCTCTATCGATCTACGACCTCATGACTGGCTACTCTTCCATCTTCTCCTCGGGGCTCCTCGCTACCCCACGACCACGCAGGCATGCCGACCCTTCAGACTACAGCATCCCGTCCCAGCCCAGCAGTCCCATGACCGTCGACTGTGATTCAGACACGACACCCACAAAACTCAACACGCCGTTGGTTCCGTCTTTCGACGACGTGATGGATTATTTCATGCCTCGCAGCCGCACATCCAGCAACGCGAGTACCAATGATTCAGGCCTTGGCGGGTTGCCAAGACTGCGCAGGCGGCGCAGCAGCGTCAGCGCCGCCAACAATGGGCTGGGTGCCGTCAAGAGTCCTCAGCGGAACGCGGGCATCGCCTTGCAACGTAGCGCGCTCATCGGCTCCGGTGGACGTGCGCGCAGTGGCAGTGTTGATGTTGGCCCTGCCGGTATACCACGCCCTGACGAGCTATGCTGCGTACCTGTTTCAGGTAGGGTGGGAGGTCGTTCTCGGAGCGGAAGCACAGGCGGCGCGCTCCGGTAAGATCCCGTTTCCTATTCTGTACGGCTTGGTGCTCACCCTGTTCGTTACTCTCAGATCCCGTCGTGCCCTCCGGAAGCCTCCCCCCGTTCCCCCACCGAATGTACCCCTCCCGCCATTGCCCTCCACGGTAGAGCTCTCACCTCGCCGTTCACTCGTGCACCGTGCCCAGACGACGGAGAACTTTGTCTCAATCGCTGTTGCACTGGGACCAGACGCGACTCCATCCGCATTTTGCATGCCTGTCCCAGATTTCACGAATAACTTCAAGGCTTTGGCTACCATGGACACCACCCCGCCATCTTCCGGTCCGCTAGCAGACCTATCCGCGTTCTGGGGCCCTGGTGCGCGGACGAACGAAAACTGACGAATTTGATTTGTGTACGGGCGTAGTCGTCATACCCCGAAAGCCGCTCCTTTTTTCTTTGTTAATGCAACGCGCCGTACAGTTCAATGGATGGACACCGCATCCACTTTTTTTTTCCGGGACTCATACCTGCCTTCATCATTTACCCTAATTCCCATTAATCTTTCGAACGTTACTTTAGAATCAAGCGCTCGACTGGCATCGTTTGCCTAACATCATTCATCATCCTCATCGACTGAGTACGACTACTTATTTCATAGCCAAGTTCACAGCAACATTTCCGCAGCGGAGTACTTACACAGAACTATGATTGTAACTGCTCCATATATCAATAATTATTTTGAACGACCAGGTCGACGTGTCGCTGTTAGTTAGAACCACACCACACGCTCAGATTTTGAGCACATGCAGTGAGTGAGAAACGTATAAATGAGCTGTACTGCGATTTAAAAAAAAAACCCCATTGTCCCTGAGCGGATTCGAGCCGCTGGCTTCACGGAGCTGCAGCGAGATGTATCTCGTGACCACAACGTGATGATTTAACCACTAATCGACAGGGACTTGATGCTCATAGTTGACATGCTGTCTCATATTCTTGTCCCTCTGACAAAGCGCCCACCTACCTTAGATTGTGGTTCTCCCGCCTCCCGCATGAGGCCATGAGAGGCCCCCTGAAAACCCCAACTGAGGTTTGATATGCGTCCACGACAGAGTTACCTTATTTGGGTGTGACCTCCAATACTCGTCTTGCGGGCGTCCACTATCTACCACCTTCAAAATCGCGTCATCTCGGGGACCATTGTCCATCACTGGCGGAGCCTCTCATCCACACTGAATATTAGGTCCAATACAATGACCCACCACTTATCCACGTCCATCGTGGATAGTACATGTGTCATGATGTGTGTCAAGGGTGTTCACGCGTTCATGGTACCTTCACTTTTCTTTTCTTCAGATGTGACCACGCTGATGTCTGCTCAACTTCCACAGTCGCTGACACAATCCCAGACACTTCTAGGATGCTAATTCTCTTGTCAAATTTATTCTCTCGGTTTCATGGTTTCGTTGAAATATCAGTTGATTTATACCTTCACTCGCATCCGTCTGACAACACTAAGATGTCTGATTCCCTCCCCCCGCAACATGTCGACCATTCCGACACCTCATGTCTCCTCGATCTCAGTGAGAATGAGCTCCCGCATCGCCTTTCGCTAATGGCAGGGACGCGTGCATTACTTCCCTCAGAAAGCCTTCCTGTCTCTGAGCTTCTCAAGCTCTTTCTCCCACCTCTCTCGACTGTTATGCCCTCAATAGATCCCGTGCTGTGCTTTTCCAACCACCCACCAACCGAGAGCGTTGGGATCTACCTGTCTCGGTCAGTCCCTCCTGTGGCCTTTGTCGAAGGCCTCCGCACTGTGGCTGGGCAAGCAATGCTCGATGGCAAGCTATCCATCGTGGATTGGACAAGCAAGAGCTCCACCTCCTTCTTCTCATTCGAGCTCATCGAATTCTGGGCCCTGCTCATTAAGGTGATTAACGTGAGGAGGATATGGGCAGCCGCAATGAAATGGATCGAACAAGTGGGAGAAGATAAGCGTCTGGAACAGGAGGTTCAAGAAGTACGCCTCATGTTGCAGACTACTCCATGGTGTGGAGACATTAAAATTCTTTGCTCACATCTTACGTTTCTGGAGATGGCGACCTTTCTGTCCGATGGCTGGCTTTCAAGCAGCCAAATCGATATGGCCCTCTCATCTACTGCGCTTCGCCAGCGTGAAAGCACAAGTGATAGTGGCCGTTATCTAATTGGTACCACCATATTGTCCGAATTCCTCCACTCGTCACCTGTACTCCATACGAAGAATTCATTGATCGACAATTCACCATGGCAAGATTACAAATTACGGGCACCACAAGAACTGCAACGTGCTGGCGACCATCTTGTACAGTATGCGCCAGATGGGGAAGTGTTATTCATTTCATACTCCCCTCCCAGACACTGGGCAGCGCTCTCTGTCACTTCTCAGGGGACATTGGAGTGGGCAGACTCTTTGGGTCGTCGTCCACCGATGAGTCTTGTCACTGGAGTTTGTAACTGGCTTAAACACCACCTATCTTCAAGTTCCTTTCGTGTCAGCAACAGTTTCAAGTGTGCACGCCAAATGGACAGTTTCTCCTGTGGTGTCATTGCTCTCAATGCGATAAAACATCGCATATTCGGAGACACACTCTGGTGCAAAGAAGACCGTGCTCAGCTGCGCATTCAGGCATTCCTTGACATCATGCATTCCTGCCGGAAACTTGAAGGGAAATCCGTACGTTTTCAGCCAAACTTTCTGTTCACGTCTTGAGATTCATGACCATATCTTAGGGATATATCTCTTCATCACTTGGCCAAGCGGAATGCCCCCTTAGTGACTCTGACTTCAAACTCCCCTTGCTTTCCATCGGCCTCTCATCTCCTGTGCCTCCTCACCGCTTGAACCCATGTGATACCCTTGACGTTCTGGACTTGTCCTCAGATGCTGACAGTGATCTTACTCCAAGTTTAACTTCCTCAACAACATGGCTCGATGACTTCAACAAGCAGTGCCCATCTTCTCCAAGTCCCGATATTCAAGTTAACCTGTCTTGCCCCACATCATCACCTAGCGCTGTGACAGTTCCTAGAAAGGAGGGGTTGCACTCATATTTCCCTACTGTCTATTGTGGGAAGCGTTCGTGTGATGCTGATGTTGAAGCATCATCTTCCCCCAAAAAACGAGCACGCATCCCGCCACCTCCTTGCTCATCCGAGTCACCCTCTGACACACTGGCATCAACGGACACCCCACAACCTTTGAAAAAGCCAGGAAAGTCCATGGCGAACAAGCTGGCACTTAACAAGGCCGTTGAGGCTGGAACATTCCAACGTGACAAATCCAAGTGGGCAAAGTTCAAGCTGAAGATATTGGGGATTGACCCACACTCAGAAGTCAATGACGATAATCCCAAGCGTGCTTGAGATGTTCTACATGTCAAGTGTGGGAAGGTTATTCGCATGGCCACAGTCTACGATGTCACCCTGTACAAGCGTCATGTCCAAAACTGCAAGTCCCTCACCGTGAGCACAGGCATGCACACTCTTGACCGTGGGCTAAGCTTTGTCTTCATGCAACAAGATCGCACTTCTCTGTTGGCTGATAGCGGGGCTTTTTAAACTATGGATTCTATGTGGCCCTGTCCTGGCCTCTCAGAGGATATCTGTCCCCAGATAGAGAACTATCTTCTTCAGACTACAGTTCCCTCTGCTGGTGGCACAAGTATTGAAAATATTGCGCAGGACCTGTACAAAAAGGCATACAAAGATCTAACTGATCCAGAAAAGCAGGCTGTGCGCATCGGGCAAATGCACACACATCGGTGGTCCTTGGAACATCAGCGAAGACGTATATTTGCCATAGGCATCAAGCCTTGCTTGTGGAAGGTTCCACAGAATTGCGGAAGTCCCCAGCCCTGTCATGCATGCAGTTCACTTCTCAAAGACCGTGCTTTCCAAACAGCAATATTCCGCACTGTTACTGAGGATGAGAATCGAAAATTCACACCTCATCTGTACCAGGCAGCTGAGATAGCGAAGATAAGTGCGAGGCATTCAGGATTGGGTGCAATATTTGACAAGGCAAGTATATTACCAGTTAACATGGTCTCGTCACTGAGTGTAACACTGCAGGACACTCCAAATAATCAACTTCTCTGCCGCTTTGCCCAAAAGGTTGCCTCAGGTGCATTCAAGGATAAGCCCTTATTCATGGACTTTACCCTGGCAATGGTGACACTGGCAGAGCGTGAGGAGTCTGGGCGTGGTCTTCAAGGCATGAACTACCCACCCGCTTTCGATGAGTGGTGCCATGAGCTTCTTTGTATGTCACCAGGAGCATACCGTGTGTTTCGTGGCCACTTTGGAGGTAGGACCGAGCGGTGTTTTCACCAAATATGGTCCAAAATCCCTATCTTCTGCCAAGGAATCTCACCTGATGTCTATGAGCGGGCAAGGCAATATTGTGCTGACTACGACTACCCACTAGAAGCGCCCCTGGCAATTGGGGTAGATGACACAGCTCTACTCAAGGCAATCCGGCCATTCCTTGATCCTGTATCAAAGAAATGGTTTGCCATTGGTCTTGTCAGCGATGCTCTGGAAGTCCCTCAAACTAGTGCAGAAGAGTTCCACCAGCAAATTGAGAGTGCAGGGCATATCAAAGCAGATAAACTTCGTCTATGGACCCTACAGATTCCCCTCCCACATGTTCCTCCAGCTGTCATAGCCGTGGCTGCAATATCATCTCGAACTACTTCTTCTATGCTCGCTCAAATGGATGAAGATCTCCTCTGCAGTCTGATGCAAAGGGACGAACCATTACACATTATCTCTTTGGGCTCTGATGGTGCTGTCTCAGAATGCAAAGCACGTCAAGATCTTATGAACAAACTCATTCAGACTGGAGAAGGCGAGATGATAGAGCACCACATTGAACATCCTGACGGGCAATCGCCTCCCATTGTTGTACCTCTTTTCAGGGTGTTCGGGAAGGCTATGACTTTCATCCAAGACTCCAAGCACTGTCGGAAAACGATGCGCAACAATTTATTTTCTGGAGCGAGGGCCATCGTACTTGCTCGCTATGTCACATGTTACCAGCAAGTTCAGGACATTGTCGATGACACTGTACATAGCCCACTCCGTCGACGCGATGTAGAGCGCCTAGATCGCCAAGATGACCGTGCAGCAGAACGTCTTTTTTCCAGTGCAACACTCGACTACTCAATCAATCGTCTTGGCAAATCCAGTCTGGGTCTCTCCACATATCTCTTCATCTTCGGCGACCTCATAGATGCCTATCAGAGTCGGAAGGTATCACATGCAGAGCGTGTGGTCATGGTTCTACAAGCTAAGTTCTTCATGGACCTCTGGAAGTCGTTCCTAAAAGAAGGCGGGTACTTGGCACAACATTATTTCATCTCCCATGATGCAGACAAGATCATCAACACTCTGGTGCTTGGTCTACTGGGACTCATTTTCATCCATCGTGATTCACTGGCATCATCTACGGACTTCAAGATGTTCCCATTGATGCCTTGGACTCATGGGAGTGAGTCCAACGAACATGTTTTTGGCATCATGCGCTCTCTGATCTCAGACTTTACGATGCTGGATGTTATTCGAATGATTCCTAAGCTCACTGTTCGACTCCAAGCAGCCTGTCGCTCTAGGAATCAATGTGTTGGAAGCACAGCTGCTGGCTACTCACACACATACTTTTACGACAAAGATGCTCCGCTCAGCTTATTTTCAGAGTACCCCTCAGACAAAAGTATCATCTCCCTTGCCAAGGTTGCCCACGATGAGGCATGCTACTTGTGGTCCTTACTTGGTTATGAGCCAAGTGAGATGGTTTCACTTAGCGGGCGCCAACCAGGAGGTCCCATACCGGAAGACGATCTGGATGATAGTGACAGCAATGAAGACATTGCGGACGACACAACAATATCAGATCGCCGGGAACTCCTTGAAGCCATTG